TATTGGCCAATATTTATACCAGTTATTTGCATAAATAACGGTTCTGATATAACACGGTTTGAAAATTGAAAGTTTTTTAAAAAAAAAAACTGAGTATTTTTAATTTTTTTACACGATTTTATTCCATTTAGCACGATTTGAAATTTTATGTACTTAAATTTTTTCTCAAATTTAATTTTTGCGATGTATGTTCATATCACAAAAAAGTATTTATGAAAGAAAAAAGTCTGAAACCATCGATAGTATCGATATTTTGCGAACACTACCTTAAAGATTTATGTGAATTCCCCTTTAGCGCGTACAAACTATTTTTACTGGTCAAATCAAATGTGAATAGCACTAATTTAGGGGAATTCCCTTTTTTACACGGCTTCTTCTGGAACAGAGTTAGGTGTATGTTATAATTTAAGCGTAAATGTATTCACGAATAATAAAAAATCAAATTTTTGTTTTGGTACGTTTATGTCAATTCGTACCTTTTGTGAACAAAAAGTACGCTTGTTACAAAAATAAAAATTGGACACCTCTTATTACTCTCTCAAGAGAGAGAAAATCTCAACACCAATCCCAATCCCGATAAGTGTAAAAACCCGCCAAACTGGTAATCGTACCTAAAAAAGTACAACATTTCTCATCCCTTTCTCTTACATCTAATTGGAGAAGCAAAAAAATAAACATAAACAAAAACTGTTCTCGCTCTCTCACTCGTTTGGGTGCTTGCACAATTTTCACTCTCTTTTCTTTTCTCTCTTTTTTAATGACAAACAATGTTACTATTGTTATTGTTGTTTTTGTTACTTTATGTTTAATGGACGGGGCACATGGGTACATTCAGATGACACACATGCATACATTTTACCTATGGGGGATGTGTGTGCGTGTGTACGTTTATTAACAGTAGAAATGTAAACGAAATGAAATTAATAAAATAAGAATTCTTTTTTTCAAGTAGTAATTGAGAGAGAGAAAAAAAGCGTCATACAACAAGAATAACAACAACACAGCCGCCGCCAACAACAAGTAACAGAAATTGCTGAATAAGAACAACAACGAAAACTGGGCGTACAACAAACATTCTTCCGCTTCTTTTGCGGTAAAATCGCAAAATAATGGGTGCGGCGGGAAAGACATTTCAATTCGACAACAATGCCGACAGACGCCAACGCCGCCTTAACTAGGCAGTCAGTCAGTCACTTGCCATTCAGTGATGTTTTGTTGATGCCTCTTGTGAGAGGGGGAAACAACACACAAGCAGAACAAAATACAAAAACAACAAGAACCATAATAAGAAGCTCTAAATTAAGGAATTTATTTATTAAATGCTGAACATCAAATAAAAATGAAAGAAAAAAACAACCTCATCATACATTCTTTGTATGTACGTAGTATTCTCATCATCACGAAGGAAGAAACAGAGGAGCAACAATTGATTTCTGAGCAATTTTATATACATACATATATAAATGAATATACATATATACAGTAGGCAGACATATGCTTATTCTTCCTCACCTCTAGTTAAACATAAACGATGAGTAATTTTTTTCGTTTTTTCAAAAAAGAAAAATAGGCGAATAAAAAACATCACACTTACCTTCTTTCTTTTCTAGTATAGTAGTAGGTTTTTTAGAAAATTAACAATTGCTATTAAATATTTAAGCGTTTTTCTGTTGCTCGTCACACGTCAATACGTTACTAATATTTCCCAAATGCAAATTTTCGTGTATTTTCACCAATAATGTGTATGTTTTGTTTAAATTTAGTTTTTCCTCTTCTTTTTTATATAGCACAAAAGTAAATAGTTTGTATGGGTGTGTGTATGTAATTGTTGTATGCCGCAAACCGCTCCACTTTTTTGTAGAAGTTATGAATAACTATGTGAGAAAAGCCGTATTTCAGTTTACCGATTTGTTTCGAATTTCTGACAGTTTTAAATATGGGTGAATTTGTTTTATTTCGTTATTTAAATGTGGTCATATGGTCACTAAATAAATTAAAATCACAATTGAAAACCAACTATCAAATCAAAGTGAGAGAATTAACCGAAAACAATGTTCACGCTTCATGGACGGCGGCACACACGCTCTCACACACCTAACATCTAACTGTCATTGGATTAGGGTTATGTAGGTCGAATGTTGACTCATCGACATGTTGTTGGGATATTAAATGGAAATCGAATAATCGATTGGTTCAATCATGACAGTTGCAAATTTAGATTGCCCAAGAGAACAAAATGTCCTAGTTGTTACTTTACTATGGCAATATCGTGATTTAAGGGCTAAGCAGAATGCTCGCGTTGAGCCGTCCGTCGCGTTATTTGTCATCGAAAATACAACAACCACAAGGAAACGATATGCGTTTGTGTTATCGTTTCCTTGTGGTTGTTGTATTTTCGATAACATATAACGCGACGGATGGCTCAACGCGAGCATTCTGCTTAGCCCTTTAGGGTGGAGGTACATACACAGATTTGAATACCTTTTTCCAAAACCTGCAAGAATCTACAAATTTTACAAGTTAGACAAATTTTTCCTCGAAACTCGTTTCTGAAACCCAAAACTAGTAAAACTTTCAGCCAAATTTAAGAGACCACAAAACAAAATGGCGTTCACTTGGTAAACCTTTTTTCGATAAACACTGTTACCTAATTTTGACCTATTTAATAGTTTTCCGTTCCCGAACTTTTTTAATTTTTTTGTACCTTGAGGGCCATGGTATAATAATAAAAGGTAACAGCAAGTATTGTTGTACAAAAAACGATACAACAACCACATGGAAATTTGTTGTTGTAAGTTCTACTAGTGTCAACTCATTTGACAGAAAAATGTAAACAAACAAACAAATTATCATCAAATTATTTTTATTTTGAAAATTAAATATTTTTGAATCTTCAAAATAAAAATTAAAAAACATGAATGAAAATCTAAAAATTTATATTTCTATCGCTTCCACATTTTTCCTTTAATTGAGCCATTGCCATATATATGTGTAACACATATGAAAATGCTGGGAATAGCGAGTTATTCCTTCAAGAAAAATTTGCTTCCTCAAACTTTCCCAGCAGGCAGATTGAGTAAATTGATTACGGGAGCACATTAATAAAGAACAATTTCAAATTGCGTTCCCAATTTTCCTGTTGGGTGATTTTTAAAAACATAATTTGTCAAATTCATATTGACACTAGTATTACGTTGGAATCAAATCAGCTGGGATTTGCTATTACCTTTTATAATTGTACCATGCCTGAGGGCATAGCATAATTACATAACCCTTTTTAATTTGGAACTCATCTATCAATTTCAAATTGTTTGAAAAATAAATTCCATAACATTTTACGCATGTCGAGTGGCATATTTTTTTAAAAAATTAAAATTTTTTTCTGTTAATAAATATGAAAAATTTTGATTAATATTGCTCTTAAGATATAACTATAGATGTAAAAAAAATATTTTTATAGATTATAGAGGCGGGAAACATCAAGTTAATAAACATTTTGTAATTATTTCCAATGAACACGTGTTGTGCGTACATTTCGAAGGAGGATATTTCCATTTAAATTTTAAAAGCTAAATGTTGTCAAAAGTAATTTTATGAAAAAATTGAAATCATATGTCAGCATGAGACTACCTTGTGTAATTATGCCATTTGTGAGAGTGATTTTGACATTATTCCATTTACTAGCATTACTCTTAAAAAAAGTACTGGAACAGAACAATAGTGTCACATCTTCATCCATAAATCATACATTTCTTCTTACTAATGTTGTAAAATCATCATTAAACAAATGAATATTATAATATATTTTTTATATTGGATTGGGGAAAAAGAAATCCATTATTTTTATATGAACTTCGGAATGTCCGATTTGGGCAAAATATGCACCGTTTTGTTGTATGATTTGTTGCCATTTTAAATGTAACTTCATAATGCCTCATTCATAGAAGTCCTGCTAATTATTTGCAAGAAAAAACTCTAGTAGTCCATTTTCACAATTTTCCCTAGATACCAATTTTTATTAAAGAAATTTTGCTATTCCAGAAAAAGATGATAATCGTTTGGTGCCAAGTTCGGACTGTATAGCGGATGCATCAAAACTTCCTAACCAAGCTCACGAAGTTTCTGGCGAGTCACTGTAGATGTGTGTGGCCTAGCGTTGTCCTGGTGGAACTCGATCAGGACAATTCTGGCCGTTTGTGGTCAATTGTAAATGGTTTAAAACAGTATGGTCGATTTTTAGCTTCTGTTCGATGTTACTACTGCTAACATGCCGGTGAACTTCGATCTCTGATTTTTTCGACATTTTCGACGACCGGCCTACCTTTGCGAGGTGCATCTTTAGCATCAAAAATTCCTGAACGGAATCTACTAAACCAAAATTGCACACAATTGGCTGTTAACGTATCAGAGCCATAAACACCATTCACAATTTTAGCCGCATGGCATGCATTTTCGGCTTTGACAAAGAAATACTGTAAAATGTACCGAATTTTCTCTTTGTTAACTTCCATTTTTAACACCCTGTAACTCACTACCGAATACACCAAACAAAAAGCAGTAAAATATTTTTTACTGCGAAATGTAACCCTTCCAGCATAAATCTGGAATTGTTTGATCGATACTTTACGAGAAATCGTAAACAAATAATCTCCCCCATCTCCTGAACAAATAATGGATTACTTTTTCCCCAATCTAATATTTGTCTTTTTCCGTACTGCAAGAGTTTACTAGATTTTACTATTTTCCTCGATATCATAAAGGAGAATTTGTTGTCGTAGCAAAAAATAGTAGATTCTTGTAGTACGAGAACAAATAAAATGATATCGAAAAAATAGAAAAAAGCTGGTAGATTCTTGCAGTACGGTAACAGACAAAAACCTACGATTTTTGTCTTTGCAAATTGACATCACTTCTCACCGCATAGATGGAAAATCAACAGCTCTACAAACGGCGATTAATCGATTAGTCGTTATTTGTTTTGACATCCCTAAAACAACGACATGAGAAGGCATCTCAGTCAGAATATAAAACAGGTATTTTCTTTTAAATATTTTTTCACTAATTTTGTAACATAAAACATTTATAAATATACAATTTATCGCATTCTAGCTAACGACCAGCTATGGCAATGGCTTTTATTCGCCGCGACATGTCGTTGATTGTGCCTTGGACGATGCTGTTAAGTTGAAAGATTTGAATGCCTTTATAAAACTGACACCGGAATTGGCACTCCACCAGGCAAAGGAATCGGCTTTACGCTATCATGAGAAACAACAGAAAAGTCCACTGGATGGGGTGACAATTGCTGTAAAAGATAATTTCTGTACCAAGGGTATAACCACAACATGTGCATCAAAGTGAGTAAAATTTATTTAAATTTGACTAGGATTCATCGACGAGGATATATTTTGTTGCAGAATGCTCCAAGACTTTGTTCCTCCTTACGATGCCACGGTGTATGAACGTCTGGCGAAGGCTGGTGCCGTCTTAATTGGCAAAACAAATATGGACCAATTTGCAATGGGTTCAGGTACAGTGGATTCTATATTTGGACCCGCTAAAAATGTGTGGAGCAAAAGTCTAGATGAAAAGGACTGGCGTATTGCTGGAGGTAGTTCCGGTGGCTCCGCTTTGGCTGTTGCCAGTGGCATTTGTTACGGGTAAGTGCTAACACTTTTATTCACACGAAATCAGCTGTTCATTGTCATTGCCACCTTCATTGGTTCACAACACCAACAATTTTGGTACACAACCTCACATTGCCAATAATGTATATTTTCCAAGTAAACATTTATTGTCCATTGCGCAATTTTCAAAAACATCAACAAAATTTCACTTTTTCCGACAGTTTATTTCCGTTATATCAACAGTTTTCCCCTTCAGTGGGTTCTTCGAATTTTCTATTTATTCATTACATAACGTTTTTAGCAATTACACTTAAGAGTAGTTTTAATTCTTTAAAAAGAAAAAGCACAGATAATGATGATTTAGATGATGATTTCGGTATCACCCAACTCTTCATCGGAGGGCAGTACAATTGTGGAGGGGTCAACGTAATTGGGGCTGACCAAATCTAGGCCGGCCTTTTCACGGCGTCTCAGCTCCAAAAATGCTTCACGTTGGGCCCAATCGCGCATTTGCGTATCGGGCAAATAGGCCCAGAAGAATGTACCCCACACCAAACACAGAGTTACGGCGAAGAAGAATGAAGCCTTTGTCGAGTTGCGATCATTGGTCTCATCTTTGTGGTCGAAGCCGTAGCTTACCCAATTCTTGGGATTGGGGTTTGCAAAATCTTCTTTGGTTACAGGGGTAGCGATGGCAGCTGTTTCATCTTTTTTGGGTGATGTTTTGATACCTCGCACGGCCAGTGTACGGTGCAAAGCAGCACGATTCACGAAACGCAAAAGAGCTGACATGTTTTTGTTTGGCTTTTCGCTACAAATAAAGAAAATATTAGGAAATTTTGTGGAAAAAAATTAATAAAAAAGAAACACACACGCAACTGTTAACAGCGCTGCTACAAAAATCTGTCCACTGACAAATGTCAAAGTTGTGCTATGAAATGATAGCCGAGTGAATTGCCAACTATTTGTGGGAAAATCAATGTTAGTTATTTAATACGTAACGTAAATAAGCTATAAATTTAGTAAAATATTAAAGGACAATTAAAAAACTGTCCCGATGTTCATGGCGATATAGCGGCTAAATAACCTTCGGAGTATTCTCGACAACATTTCGAAGAAAATTTAAAAAAAAATGTCCTGCATGATAAAAATTATTTGAGAGAATGGAGAATTAAACACAAACAAACACCATTCTATAACTACATTTATTTACCCTTTAACATATGTATATTAAAATTGCTAATACTCTTGAGAAAATAGCATATATCGAACTACGTTCTGTTTTTGAAAACGTACAATATCGGTACATATTTCGACAAAGCGCCCACTCCACCACATTCTATATTTTGAATCTTCTAGCCGAAATTTTCAGTTTAAGTGGGAGCCAATTTAAAATGTGGGATATAGTCCCACATCTTTAATTTTCACCTCATGATAAGGCCGGTACTCTTCGAGTACCAAATCAATAACAACCTATTTATACAACCTTTCCTGAACACACAAAAGTATTACCATTTTGGTCTTGTTTTAATTCTATTAAACAAAATAATAAACGGTAATATTTTATATTTCCAGTGGCATTGGTTCCGACACCGGAGGTTCAACACGCAATCCTGCTGCATATTGCGGTGTCGTGGGTTTGAAACCGACATACGGTTTAGTATCACGATATGGCCTAATACCATTAGTGAACTCTATGGATGTTCCGGGGATTTTCACACGCTCTATAAGTGATTGTGTAGATATTTTAAACGTTATAGCAGGACCAGATCCATTCGACTCTACAACAATTCCACGGCCATATCGTCCAATCACCTTACCCGAAATAGAACAAATTGATCTGAGTAAAATTCGTATCGGAATACCAAAAGAATATCATTGTCCCGGATTATCACCTGAAGTATTGGAAACATGGAGTAAAATTGCCGATATACTGGAGGATGAGTGTGCCGGTGTAAAGCAAGTATCACTGCCCCACACATCAAGTAGCATTTATGTTTACTCAATATTAAATCAATGTGAAGTTGCTAGCAATATGGCACGATACGATGGCATTGAATATGGCCATCGGGCCGATGATGATCGCAGCACTGAAGAATTGTATGCCAAGACCAGAGCTGAAGGTTTTAACAGCGTCGTTAAGAATCGTATATTATCGGGAAATTACTTCCTTTTACGAGAAAACTACAACAAATACTTTGAAAAAGCTCTCAGAGTAAGACGTTTCATAGCTAATGATTTCAAAAAGGTCTTCGAAAATGAGAATGCTGACGAACGGGTTGATATCCTATTAACGCCCACGACATTAACAGATGCCCCACTGTATAAAGATTTCACTTCGCTTTCCAATCGAGACCAATGTGCTGTACAAGACTATTGTACACAACCGGCTAATATGGCGGGAATACCAGCAATATCACTACCAATACGGCTATCCAAAGAAGGACTACCCATTGGCCTGCAACTAATGTCAAATGTATTGAATGAAAAATTACTCTTAACCGTGGCCAGATGGATTGAAGCCCAGGTGGATTTCGATTGTTTTGATAATGAACAATTATATAAAATAAGAAAATAAATACATTTATTGTTTTTGTTGTTAAAAGCTATTTAAATTGATTTCAATATTCCAACATTTTATATTCACTTAGTCCAAGTATTAGAGAAAATAAGCTAATTTATTTGCTAGTCAAATGCTGTCTTACCAGACCAGACATTAGTCTAAAGGTTACATTGCATGATAACACCCAAATGGGTACTGAAATGGCATTGGGTACACCGGTGGGAAAGCTCAAAAGACCTTGCAGTGGCTGTAGGCTTATGTCTTCACTGAATGTCAATACCGGGTTATAACGATGCTTGAAGGATATGATAGCCAGTGATATATAAAGAATAGCCTTAAAGCCATAACCCATTATAATTTCTGTGGAATAGGTCTTCAATTGACCTTTACGTTGTTCCATTTTGATTTTACGCTGAGCTTCATTTACTTTGTCCTCTGCCCGCATTCTACGTATTTCGGCCACATAGCGATCTTGACCTGTTGTATTCAAAACTTTGTCCAATTCGGCTTTTGCCTTTTTTAATTCTTCTTGCAGCAGTTCTGTGTTTCCAGATTTATGGTTTGTAAACAGAGCAGAGATTCTGAGCTGCTTGTTGGGAATAAATTAAATGAATTGTGGTTTGATATACGGATATACGAAGTACTTACTAGTTTCACTATATCCGATGCAACCGTCAGGAGGAAGCATATTATAATTATTGCAAAAAATAACATTTTTATTTAAGTATTTTGTTATATTGTCCAAGTGTGTCTTTTCGGAATGAATTAGTCCAAATGCATGCTTCTATGAAATGAATCATCGGAACTTTTCGTTGTGCAATCCACTGTAAATTGATTACTCGAAATGCAATACGCTGTAAAATGATTACCGTTGTGTGATAACAAGTACAATTCCGTTAAATTCCTTATTCTGTCGTGATCCGGGATATTACAAGGTTGGAAATCTGGACTAGGAACCTCAGCATGCCTACTATTAATTGAGACAAATAGGAAATTTGAATCTACAACTACTGTTAAAACATGGACCTATGTTGACATTTTGCTGTAAAGACTTTTTCACTCTCCAATAGCCTCAGACAAGAGGGGGCACCTTTGTAGGAACCCATATCAAAGTCGGAGTATACTTGTAATTGGTGGTTACATCCATGGTACATTTATACGAGGTAGGGTATCTTTTATCAACAAATAAAAAATACACCTTTACGTTGTAGGCTTTAATGCGTTGCGTACTAAAACACCCACCTTCTCACCTTTATAGGGTTTGTTGAACGTCCATATTACCCAAATACGCAAGGACCTTATATACTTGTGTATCGATTGAAAACGGCGAAAATGGATGAAAACATTTACTTAAATAACCAAAAAATGTTTACATGTATAGAAAAACAAATTTTTCAATGACTGGAATTCCATTTTCAAAAAAACAACAAATTCAAAATACGCATTGTCAATGTTGAAAATGTTCAACTTTTTATGTTTACACGCAATGCGTATTTGGGTAACATTCATTGAAATACATGTATTCATGGTACAATAATACAAGGTAGGGCAGCTTAAGTTGAATAACAAAAAAGCAACTATGCACGTGTGGCTTCTTCTGCCAAGAAAAAATAAATATACGCAACAAGTGTTTGTGTTTATTTGACATTTTTTCAACACAAAACTAAAAACGCAAAAATGAATGAAAGGTTATGATTTCTTCCCAAAATCCAGTAGGGAACACCATAAAATGTTTGTTTCATCCATAACAAAGTAATTACTTCCAGACGAACGTGTTAAAAACTTTATTTTCATTTCAATTAAACTTAAATATATTTAAATTTATTTTGAATATATTTGACATTGTATTCATAACAATACACACACATACACAAAATATGTATTTTTATTTGATTGAACAAGCCACCTTGAAGAAATAGTAATCAGTTTGTAGCTGTGCCCTACCTTGTAATAATTATACCATGCTAGAACACATGGTGTTTGGTTAGTTACAGGCGCTCATCGACTGTCCATAAGATCATTGGCACCCGGTCATTTCAACCGAGATCCCCCTAAACCCGCTGGCTGTATGCAGTCGCGGACAGCCCAATAAACATATAGACTCGCCCGATAGCGTTCGGCTTTGCTGCCGTTCGTGGGTATAAACATAAAGCACTGAAATATTTTCATCAAGATTATATCCTTATATAGATCTCTCAAAAGTTTCTGCTAGTAAATTTGATCTCTAGATGGTATGTACAAGCATATGTGTGTGTTTGCGTTATGAAGTAATTATCAAAACAAAACTAAATGAACAGATCTATTATTTCAGAAATTTAATCTCGTCCCCAAAGAGGAACGCATTTTATTATTGTACCCACCATATGTTTCATAGTGAACACACGCTGGGTTGGCAACGCCGACACTCCAACCACCTGCTCTAAATGACAGTTCAGCCTTTATTTACATTTGTAATTTGTTGTTCTCTCTCGGCCCTTTGAAAAACATGATTTTTTGAGACCACATTCACAGAGACATCACCTATCTAACCCAAGGAGAAAAAAATTTGGGATTAAAAAAAATCGGGTTCTGTGACAAAACAATGATTGCAAATGAATTAGAATGCGATAAGTTGAATAAATTTAATATTTTGCATCGCTCGTCTTTGAGGGGACTGAAGAAATGTGGATCGTGCGGTTCTATTAGTGGTCAACGAGCGGTTATATGTCGTAATACCGAGTGTGATTTGCGCAAACGTATGCTGGCTTCCATAAAACCATTTGATCCCATTCAATTGGTGACACACAACGATATTCGCCTGTTTTCGGTGAGGACTAAAGAGAAAATCATTAACGTGCGGAATTTCGTCGCCATCAGTCAATCGCCGACGACGGGAATCTTTTCGCGAAAGGCAACATGTTATGTGGATAGCTGTAAAAATGAGATATCAACGGATTTCCATTGCAAACATATCAAGGCCATCTATTCAGCTGATAGTGATTTCCAATTGGCTGAGGTATATCAGATGGACAAGAACGTGCTGTGGAATTTAAATATTAACGAGGAACAAAAAGTGAGCTTGTGGGATGCGTATTGTCGCGGTGAAAATGAGGAGAACATTCCACCGATACAACGTTTAAATGGGCAAACGTTTGCCGTTACAGCTTTAAATTCAAGCAACTTTCTGGCGGGTCGTTTACATGTGACGGTGTGTTCCAATGCCGTGACCAATAAGAAAGGTTTCTATTTGTGTGCCTGTAAAAAACTGAAAATTGTGGTAGAACCTGACAATTCTGTTACCATGAAAAAGGAAATCTGTGATCATTTGCTGTTATTGTTGGCCGCCATTCTCAATAGGCCCGACAAATCTACGTATAGTGCCTTTCTTGATTCGCTACAACATCTGTGGATGCCAACCACATTAAACCCACCGGTTGATTCCAGTTCTTCACACCTTACGGATTTTGATATGCCGATGATTGATTGTGATGATAAGAATGAGGTCACACCAATTGGGGTTACTAACAATAACAGTAACAATAACAACAACAACGCGGAAGATTTTTTCAATTTCAATGAAGATCTATTTGCTGAAAACGTAAGTTACGATATGCAATTACCATCACTGCAATGTTGTAGGGTCATTAAAATGCATCATTTGCTATTCTCCTGATATTAATCACACACATTTTGTAATTGGAGAAAAATTCCCAACGGAAATTCAGTAATTATATTTCGAAATGTGAGGAAGAATAAAAAATGTATGGGGCTTTATATTCATGACGTCGATGTTGCCGTTGGCAGCAGCAGACAGCACGAAGCACATTGACAGATAACAAACGACGGACTGTGTGTCGACTTTATACTTTTGTCGGTTTGGGTTAGTTAAAACTTTTGATTTATTTCAGTTTGGTTTTGAATTTATTTTTGTATGTAATGTGTGTTAATTATCTCTCTAATTGTTTACCTTGCTAGGGCAAACAAACACACAGACAGATATACATACACGAAAATGTTTCAATGCCTCTGGCTTTCTCCCCGGTGGAGTTTGATATTTTTCACGTTACACATTCAAAATAGAGTGATCGGATAACGTATCTTCCAAATGACCAGATTGTCACATTTGGATGACTTTTGTTGATATTCAAAAAAACACTTTAATTTTGAGAGTTTTGTATTACAAAACAGATACGAGTATACTATACAAATAAAATATATATCATCAATTTATTTGTTTATGACGAAAAATATAACACAAACACACACGCATATAACACAGTCAAAACCCTTGTGGGGCAGTGGCTGCGTTGAAGAAGAAAAAATAAATTTATAATTTAAACCCCACTACAATGTGGAGTTTATATGTATAAAATTTTGCACATACTTCGAGGATGTGATAAAGGAATATACCTAGCGATCCACTTTCTGAATACTTCTATATAGCGATAAAGTCATTTTATTTATTTTTTGAAGTTTCGGGCACATATTCCAAAGGACAACGGTAATTTGCCAGTTGGTGATGTTATAAGTATAAAATAATTCTTTATAGAAAATGTTGAAATATAGGTCCATGTTTCACAATTATGAAACATGGACTATTATAATAGTCCCATATACAGATTTGGAATCATTTTAAATATTTGGACGGTTCAATTCACTTTTTTTGAAACTAAGTGTCAGTAATTTGATGATGGTTTCCATGAGCAGGATATTATTGTCTACGACAGATTCACGATTTTGCTGATCAATTGTGATCATCTCTTCGAGAGATAACATTGATCTTGTCCAGATCAATACCATCTAACATGAACTAAAATGAACCATTAATCATCTCTCGATAAGGGATCCAATTTCCACCTCGTTGTTGGGGTGGAAATTGGGTCCCTCATTCAAGATGATTTTTTATACCCTCAGCCTTATGGCTAATGACTTTGATAAGGTGAAAATTGGTTTTAGACCCCACGTTTCTTTGGACTATATATCATCAATTTATTTGTTTATGACGAAAAATATAACACAAACACACACGCATATAACACAGTCAAAACCCTTGTGGGGCAGTGGCTGCGTTGAAGAAGAAAAAATAAATTTATAATTTAAACCCCACTACAATGTGGAGTTTATATGTATAAAATTTTGCACATACTTCGAGGATGTGATAAAGGAATATACCTAGCGATCCACTTTCTGAATACTTCTATATAGCGATAAAGTCATTTTATTTATTTTTTGAAGTTTCGGGCACATATTCCAAAGGACAACGGTAATTTGCCAGTTGGTGATGTTATAAGTATAAAATAATTCTTTATAGAAAATGTTGAAATATAGGTCCATGTTTCACAATTATGAAACATGGACTATTATAATAGTCCCATATACAGATTTGGAATCATTTTAAATATTTGGACGGTTCAATTAACTTTTTTGAAACTAAGTGTCAGTAATTTGATGATGGTTTTCATGAGCAGGATATTATTGTCTACGACAGATTCACGATTTTGCTGATCAATTGTGATCATCTCTTCGAGAGATAACATTGATCTTGTCCAGATCAATACCATCTAACATGATCTAAAATGAACCATTAATCATCTCTCGATAAGGGATCCAATTTCCACCTCGTTGTTGGGGTGGAAATTGGGTCCCTCATTCAAGATGATTTTTTATACCCTCAGCCTTATGGCTAATGACTTTGATAAGGTGAAAATTGGTTTTAGACCCCACGTTTCTTTGGACTAAATCCGTTTCAGACAATTTGTAGTCGAATTACAAATGTCCGTCCGACTGTCTGGCCGGATGGTGCCCACGATAACTCTCGAAGGGAGCAACCGATTTCGTCCAAACTTTGCACAACGTAATATTTCTTCCAAACTTAGTTTAAGTTCGAAGATGGGAAATACCGATCCACTCCTTCTTGCACCTCCCCACAAAATTGTCAAAATTGTGCTAAAAATTTATTTTGTATAACATCCGACTATCCGATTTGAACCAACCTTTGCACAACCTATTATATTTACGAAGTCTAAACTAAGCCCGAAAATGGGACCCATTGGTCCACCTCCCCCAGAAATGTTCAGCATTTTGATATATTTATAAATCCAATATTAGGCGAATGGAATGTGTGGTTTGAACCAAAATTTGCACAACATATTATATTTACCAAGTCTAGCTTATCTTTGAAGATGGCACATATTGGTCCACTCCTTCTTGTACCTCCCCCACAAATGGTCAAAATTGTGCTAAAAATTAATTTTATAATAAGATGTAAACGGACTGTCCGATTTTAACGAAACTTTATACAACCTATCAAATGGTCAAAATTGTGCTAAAAATTAATTTTATAATAAGATGTAAACGGACTGTCCGATTTTAACGAAACTTTATACAAACTATTATCTTTACCAAGCCGAGATCAAGTAGGAAGATGGGACCCATTAGTCCACTCCTTCTAGTACCTCCCCAAAAAGGATCAAAATTTTCAATATTTATAAATTCAATAGCGGGCTAATGGATAGTCTGATTTGAACCAAACTTTGCACATCCTATTACCTTTACCAAGCCTAGATCAAATTTGAAGATGGGACCCATTGGTCCATTCTTTTGGTACTTCCCCCTCAAATGATCGAAATTTTCAATATATATAAACCCAATATCAGGCGAATGGAGTGTCCGATTTGAACCAAATTTTGCACAACCTATTCTATTAACTAAACCTAGTTTGAAGATGGGACACTTGGAAGATGGGACCCTTTGGTCGACTCCTTCTGGTACCTCCCCCTCAAATGATCGAAATTTTCAATATGTATAAATCCAATATCAGGCGAATGGTATGTCTGATATGATAGAATGGAATGTCCAAGCTTTTCACAACCTGTTATCTAGATCAAGTCAAAATATGGGACCCATTGGTCCACTTCTTCTGGTATCTCCCACACGAATGGTCAACATCCTCCGCAAACCATAGGGTGAGGGTATATATCTGTCGACAACACCGACTGACACTTTTTTTTATTTGTTTTCATACATTTTAAGGACTCTATCAGCAAATACCCGAGGTCGTACTCATGTCTTTATAGAATTTCAATAACTTCAGTGATTACTTGAAGCTCTCTCATTTTTAGTAATGGCGTACTTTTCACTGGTCAAATGGCAAAGAATAACAACTTCAATGCTACAGTTATGGAAACAGCAGGAAAACCCTTTACAATTTTGTTATTAGAAAAACACCGCCCTTTCGTTTGTGGAGTTTTTTTTATTTTGCTGTTTTATGCGTTCAATTATGAAATAAATAAATAATAACAAAACTATATAACAGTTGCACATTTTACCTAAGGCGCATCACAAGTAACATCATGTTTTATGACACATCATAAAGGCATTTTTATATTGTAATCTTGGACAGGCAATGTTAACGAATTCGTAATAACGTTCAGAGCTCAAACTAGATAACAATAATCCATTGCTAAATTTAAATTGAAAACGTTTTGTTTCTAGGATTTCTTGTTGATCTAAATATTAGATGTTTTATATTCTTTGTACCACAAAAAGTTTTATACAAATATAATGAATTCATCTAATTTTATTTACTTTATTTTTCAGACAATTCCTGATTTTTCAGACATTATATCCGACATTGAATCCGAAACGAAAAAATCCTCACCCCATATGCAACAATACCTGCCAATAGTATCCACATCAGATCCTCACTTTAATTCAAACAACAGTGTTGAAGATTTCGATTTGAATTTTCCACACATAAAAGAAAACCGAATTGCTGCCGATACAATGTCAAGTGCCTCGACTATAACACCAACAAATAATAATAATAATTTCAATAACAACAATTTAAGCGTTGTTGAACAATTTCAATTAAGCAATGACATTCAACTATCATGTGATAATATAGCTTTAGCCAAGGATATTGAAAGTCTGAACAATTTGGAGGCGCAAGTCCAAGATACATGTTTAGATACAATAACAACAACACAGTTGAATGGTGTTGAACAAATCAAACAAGAACAAATTGCCCCGTCCGTCAATAGTGACCTGCAAACAACAATAGCAACAACAACTACAAAAAATTTCATTACAAATACCTCAAATTCGGTGATTATCAAACCAAAGTGTAATCCTGTCTTTCTCAATAAATCCGTTATTGTTAAACAGAGTCCAGTGAAAATCATAAAAATTACAAAACCCGGTGTTATACAAAAACTGCCAACTATCGATAAGAAATTTGTACAAATTTCCAAAATAGATTCTAGCAAAATAATTTTACTTAACTCAAAAAGTTCTCATAAACCCATAAATATACAGCCGATAAATAATGTTACTGTCACCTCCACGGTACCCTCACCGCCGTTAATGGATGTAAACCAGCCCTCACCGGCACCCGCATTATCCTATGAATCATGGTTGGATAATATAATAGAAATATTAAATGACAGTATTATATTACAAGACTCCAATAATATTAAGCATACATTCCATGTTCATGAGGTGAGTAATAGGGTTTTACGAAAGTGAGTGCGGGAGAGTGATAATATTTTTCTTTGCTTTTAGGATATGTTCTCACATTTTAGTAAAACTTTTGGTTTCAATAACAAACCCCGACTGCCTAATTTTACACAAGTATTAACCAGTGGCAAACATAAAGGTCTCATTAAATATGGATGGTATTTCAATCAAGCAGCGGCTGTTAAAAGGATATTTTCAACAAAAAATGTAAGTATGTTATGTTGTGTTGTAATATACAAACAGATCAAAACAACCATCAAAAATAATATTCGGTGAACAAAAAACCTTAAATATGTGGCTGTAATAAAACATGGACACAAATGCAATGAACCTTTGTTCTAAAACGTGTTGTGCCTCGACATTCTCGGCGTTAAAAATTGAATTTTGTTCTTTATTTAATTTGAACCTACATTACTTCATGAATGTCGATTTAAAATGCCAAGTGGCGGCAAGGGTGCCTCTCAAACTTTAAACACTTTTTTCTCGAAATATGGCGGGCACGATAACTCAAAAACTTGGATAACTGTGATCGGTCAGGATCTTCCATATTTTATAATTTGGTTTGAAGGACATTTTGTTAATTTTTGTGTGATGTTAAAATCCTAGTTCATACCATAGCCAGGCATGTTCTCTTTCGAGATGCGTTGGATTTTTTGTGACGCTCTCGAAAAGAAGGGCTTTTCTTTAATTGCCTGCCCTGCCCTGTACCCTTAAGTTTTTTATTCCAAATTTAAATGCTCTGAAAAGGTTCACCAACTCTGAATAAATTGACCAACTCCGATTCTAAGACTCTGACTACTTATTCCAGATAATATAAATCGTCATAGAGCTTAAAACATAATTGAACACCTCTACTTTATATTCAAGTAGTTATTTTTTCTATTCAATGTACTTATTTTATTATTTCTCTTTTATTTACAGTCCAAATTGGAATTACAACGTCCAACGGAGCCACTTAAAGATGGAAATTTTGTGCCATTCTTTTCAAAAATCTCTAGCCAAATAACTGTTACCAAATGTCGTCCAAAAGAACCGGAACAAAGAGTTTTTCTCAAATTTTCCAATGCCCCCGAAACAGCTTCGGATACATATGAGGTGAGTTTTTTTTTTAAATCAAATAAAATTATCCAAAACAACATTGTAACAATCATATTTATTTCTGTTTTCCCAAAAAAAAAAGAACGACAAATCCGGTTTAAAACTGGAATGGCTTCCCTCGGCCTTTCCCCGAAGTCATTTTGGCCTTATGACCATAGAGTTTTGTGTTTACACATATACCAAAAATGGTTCTCTATATGGTAACTTTTGAAATATGTGCAATAAAGTTTCTATGTTTTATTAGAATTATCTATGCGTTTTCATTTTAAATTTTGCAAATGGAATGCAATAAAAAATAAAACACGTGCCCCAAAAACGTATTCATACATTTAACTTTTTATTTATTTAAATATTTCATTGAGTGTGATTTCAATGGTTATAATCACCATTTCATATGTCTCTCTGCCATTTCTTTTTGTATTCATTAACTGTGACGCATTGTCCGTGATAACATCAATCATTTTATTTAACTGTGCTTTTTTTATACCATAGTTATATGGGTGGTAGGTATGAGGCGAACACACAAAAAGAAACAAAAAAACGATAAACAAAATTGACGAAAAGTGAAACAATCAATTTTAAGTCTCAATAAGTACACCTAATGAGTAGGATATTAATATCATCAACGGGGTGGTATTTCGGTGATAACAATGGTATTTAGGTCTGTTGCGTATTGTCCTACGTAAATCATTTGACAATTCCGGCATGAAGAGTAGTAAACTGTTTGGGGATTACCGTCTGAATGAAGTAAATCCAATGGATTTAATTTGGAACTTTGTTTTATCTGAGAACAACAAAAAAAGCTTCTTTACAATGTAGATCAATGTTTTGAAATACCCCATTATAAGGGCAACGATCGATATTTGGCATTTTAAATGTGCCAAATATCATTCCAACCAACCGAATTACATCTTGGTAAACAGTTGGGTATGTTTATTATTTCTAAATACCCAAAGCCAAATAACTAGATAAACGAAAATTACCAAATTGCGTGATATGCCGAATTCGTCATAACGTACACTATGTCATATCAGCTATGACACTACTAAATTAATTATATTTTAATTGCGGTAATTAACATAATGACGTAGGCGGGTGTTTAATTTCCTCACAACACAAAATTAAGAATAAATGTAGAAAAAAAGTATCAAAGTAATGGGTAATTAAAATGTGCACAACTTCCTAAGAATGCAGAATGTTTACATGATCGATGATGAATAAATTGATCGAGTCAGATGCGTGATAGAAAGTCCGATAGATCATTGAGTTACGGTATACAGTAATAAAAAACGACATCACCCTTGCGATGGTTGCTATTATACCTTCGACCATAAGATTGCACTTGTCTGTTCCGTTTGCAATAATTTAATGGCCCTCATTAAATGTTCCAGTATTTTGTTTTGTCTAAGGAAAAAAAAAACTTCTTTACAATGCAAATCAAAGTTTTGAAATACCTCATTACAAGGACAAAGATCGATATTTGGCATTTTAAATGTGCACCGTTCGGCCCAGCAGAATTTCCGAGCAGTGTGCTAACAAATTTATTAAGGTCTCATCAACATCTCGTGATATTAGCTCTGTCTGTTTACTCGATATTTGGTAACAATTGTTACCAAATGTTACTAAATGTTGTCTGTTTACCCAAAAGCCCAGTAAAAGAGAGTCAAGTTTCACAGTTCAACAACAACAAATTTACTGGAGTTTACTGATAAAATTTATGCAGTAAGATTTTGCAAACTCAGACATTTTTGGATCAGCTGTTTTATGACCAAACACAAAAATTATTCAAAACATATTTTTTTAATTTGCAAAGTTCAATTTGAAATTAAGTTGTAAAAAAATTACAGAAAATTGAAGAAAATTCGCATGTAATGCAAAGTTTCATTAAATTAGAAACTAATTCTTCATATTTTTAGGCAAGTTTCAGAAAGAGGGCAATGTATTGATGTTCAGTTTATTTTTAATATTAAATGTAATACAAATAATTGTGTTCGTCCTTTGTTTATTTTGGGACAAATAAAAATGTTTTCTTGAATCAGCTGTTTATTTGTTGCATCAGCTTTTATTGCAGTGCATTTACTCAGCTGGGCAACCAGGCGAACTATTTGGCTAGGGAAATGCATGCCCAATTATCGGAACCTCAGCATTCTGTGTCCCGGCAAATCCACCACTGACAGGATTTTCACTCCTCCCCATATCCTGGAAAAAACCACGAAAAACACATCGATACATTCCAACTATTCGTCAACTACAAAGTCGAATTCGACAGCCCAAATCCGCTCTGTGTTCGGCATTACTGCGAAATTAATACGGCTATGCAGGATAACTTTATCTGGCAAAAGATCAGCAGTAAAAGTCCGAAAGGACCTGTCGAAGCCCTTCAATGCCGAACGAGGATTCAAACAAGGTGATAGTTTGTCGTGTGACTTTTTTAACATCCTGCTGGAATAGGTTATACGAGATGCAAATGTGAACAGAAATGACACTTTGTACACCAAATAACACATGTTACTCGCATACGCCGATGTCATCGACAGAATGGGTCGAACATTGCGAGCGGTAACAGCCACCTTTGTACAAATTGAGAAGGCGTCTGGCAGTAAATGGCGAGAAGACCAAGCTAGACGTCCAGTAGACTCAGACAAACTGTGGAACTTGATAACTACAAATTCGAGTTAGTCAAAGATTTTTATGCCTCTGTACCGCCATAAATAAAACTAATGATATCAGTTTTGAAATTCGGATAGTGGTGGCGAACCGATGCTATTATGGTCTAAGTAAACAGTTTGGAAACAAGGCCATCTCTTGCCACACCAAACTCACACTCTACAAGACCCTGATACTAACCGAGCTGTTGTATGGATGAGGCAGATCTTGGAGAGTTTGAAAGAAAAATTCTCCGAAAGATCTATGGACCGATCGGCGTTGGCGGTGAATATTGCCGTCAACTGAACCATGAGTGGTACCATCTACTCGAAAATCATTGTTAGACGTATCAAGCTGCAGCGACTGTGAAAATGGATGAGGATTCCCCAGCACAAATGGATATAAAAGCGAGCCAACTGATGGAGGCCACGATTTCGATGTAAAGATCAATTGGAAGAGAACATTTCGGAACATGGTTTTTCAAATTAGAAGAGTTGGAAATCTTTTTTAAGTTCGGCTTATGGAACACTTTTCAGCTAAGTAAATAAGTAGCACTTACGTTGTTGGGTCGTGGCATATTACTTACGTATAGTATAATTTCTACTAGCTTCGAGATTTCAATTTCATTGTTCATATGGTATATTGGACGGAGGTATATACTATTTGTCGTATAGTATTGCGGATCAATTTATAAGCACAAAACCTAAGGATTATTTTATTACAATTTACCTTATGTGTAGCCACAAAAAAAAAAAAAACACTCGTCGTTTATTTTATTCGTTAAATCGCTTCTTTCGTATATTTATTTCATTCTTTTTTGTTTGTTGTTGTTTGTTTTGTTTCTTTATTATTTTTTTGCTTTATTATAATGTATAATACTTGTTTTGCTTGTTGTTGGGTTTCTTTTCCTTATATCTTGTCCTTAATTGTAGAGTTGAAAAATAAGAAAAGGAAAATAGAATATAAATTAAATAATTTTACATTCAATTCATGTCATCGTTTTCTTTGAAACATTTCATTCCTTTTTTGTGTTATAATCAGAGATATTCGGTTTTTTCGATTGGCTTATTCTGTTTTTAAAAATTAAAATTGTATTTTTCGTTTTTTTTCTTTCTTTTTTTAAATTAGTACATAAAATTTACAAAAATTGTCTTATGTATTTATTCGGTTTTTTGTTCTTGTTGTCTATTTATAAATATGTATGTAATTATATTCTATATTTATAAAGTGTATTTACATATGTTTTTGTTTTGTTTTTCGTTTATTCAATCACTTGTGCCTTGGTGCTTATTTTGTAAATTTTTTAGTTTTTTTTTTCATTTTGTTTTCTTTATGAATGAATTGTCGATATTTTTTTTGCAAATTTTTTCTATGGGGGAATTGTGAGCAGTGTTTATTTAATTTTTTACAATATTATGTTTTGTTGTTTTGTTAAAGGAATTGTATTCTCATCTTTTAAAACATTTTTTTAAATTAGGACGGACATTACACCAATAAATTAGGAAGGTTACAATTTGGGGGGCCTAGTAATGTATAATATTTAAAATCAATGTATATTTAGGTTTTTCTTTTTTTAACACTGGGCCATATGACAGACTTCGGGATTTTTTATTGGTATCTTTTATTATTTTAAATTAAAAAAAAAATAACTTGTAATAAAATAAATATGTTTGTATGTATATTATTTTTTATATTTCTTTATCAATTAATTCGAAACAATAAGACCCTAAAGTCAGGAAAGCGTTGCTAAAAAAGTTAAAAAATTAGTATAAAGTATATGCATGGTAATTCGTAGCCCGAGATAGTTCGTAATAGCTTGTTTTTATTTTAATCCAGCTAATCCGACCTTCGAAGTTCTTTACAATTTTAAAGAGCTGCCTTTAGAAAATTTTCGCAGAGTTAAATAGCTAATATCGCAGATTTAAATGGCTAACATCGAAGTAATTTACAGTGCTCCAGCAACTTTACAAGGTTTCCTTCATTTCAGAAAATATCCAAACCTGACGTCACAACTAATTTTGAATACTCTTTTATACAGTAACCCTCTGAATATTTGGTAACCCTATCTTGTACGATCTTATTGCAAATCAGCTGTTTGTGTCAGCTGTTTCGGAATAAAAGCAACACAAACCTAATCATCTATCTAAAATTGTTTTTTAAAGACGTTTTATCTTAATTTTGTGATGTTAAACAAATTATACGCAATAATAACATATTAATCTATCTTCATGTGCCTTTTTTTTAAAAAAAAAAAGATTTTCTTTCATATAGAATACACTTCTGTTGAAGTGAATGCCAGAACATGCTCGTATATCATACATTCCACAACGCCACTAATACAGATTCGTCCAAAGGAAAATACACTACACCAATCTGTACTTTTATATGATGTCTACTTCGGAACCATTAAAAATTTGTTTTTATAAATATTTGGAAAATGGTTGGCACGTTTATACGACCCATATTCCAAAACTTTGTCATACTACATCGATTTCAATTGGAACACTGATTATATCGTTAATGTAAGCCCTTTTTCAAAACTTGGATTGACATATGTTTTCTTCAAGTCCAAGATAAAATTTCCATCAACATCTGCTGTGGTTAATTACCTGATATTCGACCTACACGAACGCCTATTTACCTTACCTTTGGCAAACAATTTATTTTCCCATGGGAAAGTCACCCTTCAATTCCAATTGGAAAATCGAGAAAGGCTTTCATTTCTTTTTTGTTAATCCTTGAATCAATTTAATTTTAAATATAATTTCAAAACCTTTTTCAATAGATCACCTAACCTTCTTTAAAAATAATTCGAAAAAAAAATCGAGTAGGAATAATATTTCTATTAAAATATCTCCACAATTGGGAATTTAATTTAAATTAAAGGACGCAACGCCACTATATTTTAGATAAATGACATATCAACACCACAACAATGAGGTTATGAAACCAAATTCTATTTTATATCAATGGTATACAACTCCATATTGGGCCAAGTATGAATGCTGTACTCTCTAAGAGGCTAAAACCCTCAGGAATTCCAATATCATTACTAAGAAGTGTAAACCTGATAATTGTATGACATATTCTACTGAATACCAGTTTTTAATATTTTCATATACTCCTAATCGCTTTGGAAATACAATAAATACTCCGTGTTTGATTTTATTTTCTTATTTTTCGTTTATATGCAATTTGTTTTTTTTTATTTCTGATGACATATACAAATACATTTCTTATCGGAAAGAAATACAAACACATATATGTATATATAAAACTCGACTTACGCTACACTTATTAACGTCGCCGCCATTATCAATTGTCGCCGTCGTCTGTCCAAAGCCCAGATATATGGGAGAGATCAAGAAATGATGATATAATATTTTTTTGTTTAAGGTTTTGATTTTTTTTTCGTTTTCTTTTACAATAACAAATGACTAAGGATACAACATTTTGTTGTTTTATAATTAAAAACTTAATTACAGAACAAAAAATAAAAATTACACAGGCATGTATAGTATAATGTAATGTTATATATCTATATATATATAAATGTGTATGTTGTGGTTAGGTATATTAAGCCAACTCAATTTTAAATGTATGTATATAAACTAAATAAATAATTTAATAGAGAAAAAAATATATTTATATATATTTTCTTTAAAAACTATATATGCAAATTTGTTATAAAAAAACGTAGATATTATACTTAAAAAATAAGTCGTTGATTTGTTTGTGTGTATGTATTACAAATTTAGAAACATATATCCTAGAAAAAATAGGGAAAGTCGGTCGTTTTTTTTAAATATAAAGGTTAACTAAGAGTAATAATAATAAGGATGGTCGTTCGTTTAATGGGAGTTGTTTTTTGTTTTTGGCGGGGAGGGGAGAGGAGAGGAGGAAGAAATAGGTATTTTATAATTCCACCTTGTATATAGGTAATATATCTATATTTATATATATAATTTATCTGTATAAATGTATAATTACGCGAATGAACTATTTATGATGTTTGCTTGTTTGTTTTATGTATGATGGGTTTTTTGATGTATTTGTGATTTTCTTGTTATCTTTAATAATAATGTTTTTTTGTTTGGTGCTAATCTACAATTTTTGTTTCACATTTTTTCTCTTCGGTTTAGTTTTTTTTTAATATTATTTTCTTTTTTTCTTGTTGTCCTTTTGTGAATGTATTTTCGTGTTTTGTGAGTGTTTCTCCTTTTTAAATATGTCCGCTGTGTGTGTGCATAAGATCTATTTGTTTGTTGTTTGCTTTACATTACAACTTAGTACTTATTTGTTTAATTCTATTAACTAATATCTATTTTTACGGTTATACACACTTAGGGGTCTTGGTTTAGGCGAATTTTCCAAAATGTGGTGATTTTTAAAATCGAAAAAATATACTGAAACTCTTGCGTTGTAAAAAGCGTTCAATAAAAAAAGATGATTTCATATTTTCCAAGTTAGGATGTGTCTAAAATCGCATAAAAAAGACCCAAGTGTTAATTCGGAGTTCCAAGTTAAAACGGACAAGGAAGACATGCCACATTTATAGTTCGGATACCTTTTTAATTTCATAAAAATAAAACCACATCAAATATTCTATGCCAAATTTAACAATATTGTATATGACACACAATCAACGATGTAGTTTTTATCTTACAAAATTCATTATTACACATTCAAAACTTAACTCAGTTAAATAAGAAATTTCTTTTGAAACATACAGAGAGTTGTCCCTAAAATTTGAAGTAATTTAATGGTTAAAAACATCTGTCCTTAGTCCGTTTTAATATGGAATGCCACACATGTATGTATGCGGCGTATCACCTATATGTGTATATTTATATATTCCTCATTTCAATTTGTTGTTGTGTTGGGTTCTTTTTTGTTATTGTGTTTTTATGGTTAAGATTTTTTAGTCTATTGCATATTTTAACCTACGATATCTAAGCTTTGAGCATCAGTAACTGTGGATGTGGAGGTGAGGAGATTATTTAGACAAGCACCATTATTAGTTGTGGGATTATTATAGAATGCCGTTGGCATTGCCGTCGCCGGTGAGGGAGTTGTTGGAGCAGATGATGTTGTGGGAGTTGGTGGTATTGGCGAGGGATTCGTGGATGTATTTATGGATGAATTGTTGGTTGTGGGATTTAGTAATGGTGTAGTAATTTCATTGGCATTGATGACAGTCGATGAAGATGTCGATGGTGTTACACCCAGGGAGGCGGGGTAATCGGCATCAATTGTTGGCGGATTATAACCCATGGGATAATCAACAATTGCATCAATTGGATGATGATCAACAATGTGTATTGCAGCGTGGTGGTGTGGCGGCGGTGAACCCATTCCATTTTTGTTCGTTGACGATGATGAAAAGCCGGTATTGAATGCCGCCGGTGGTGGTGGTGGGGTGTATGAGGTTATATTATCACAATCGACATCCGTGATGTCATTTTGATTGGCGTAGTGTTGAATATATTGTTGTTGATTTAGTAGGGCCAGCATTTGTTGTTGTTGTTGAAGGGCCGCAGGCGTTGTTGAATTTTCGCCAACAACCGGAGCATTACCGGCGAATTGGGGTGGAGGTGGTGGTGTTGTTGTTGTAGCAGATAAATTGTTAACAGTGGCAGAAGAGATGGTTGGATCATCCCCATCACCATGGTTAGTAGTAGACAACAATGATGAAGTAGTAGTAGTGGGAGTAGTAGTAGAATCGGTGGTATTGGTAGTAGTTATAGTATTAGAAGAATTATTAAAATTAGAATTAGTTTCACTATTAGAGGTTATATTCATACATAAATTACTATTATTATGGGGAGGTGGTATTGAAGGATTGTTATGATGATGATGGTTGTTATAATTGTTATGGCTATGATTTTGGTGATTGTGATGGTGGTGGTGATTGTGGGCATTTTCCAATAATGATGATGATCTTGATAGATTTGAATTTGGATTTGTTGTAGTTGTTGTATCAGATAAGTTATGATTGTTTTGGGATACAGAATTTTGTGTGGGAGATGATAGAGAAGTTGATGATAATTGATTTGGAATATGTAATGCAGCAGCAGTAGCAGTAGAATTGCAACCGCCAACACCACCACCAACAACGGGTGATGTGGCTGTGTTTGCTAGTGCATTTGTTGTTATATTTGTTGTTGTAGTTGCTGTTGATGTGTTACAATGATTGTTGTAATTTTGACATGAATTCGTCGTTGTGGTTGTAGGATTCGGATTTTGTGGATTTGTGGAATTGTTTTGATTTAGAATAATTGATTTTTGATTTGATTGAGAACTGCTATTACGTTTTGTTTCACTATTGTGTTTTTGTTGTAAATCATTATTACCATTACTGCAAATTTTACTATATAGATCCGGCGTTGCTGTTGTCACATCCTCGATTTCAATTTTAATGGCAGTTCGTTTCAGCAACTGCAAATTACGTGGCAGCAAAGCGAGTATATTATATATTAAGCGTATATCTTCACTAGATGTCCAAACACCGGGACGTTTGTTGTGATACAATTTGGCATATTGATAGATGTTAGCCATTTGACAGTATTCCATCTCAATCGCCAGCGAAGAAATGGCACAAAATGTACAGGCTTGAGCTCCGCCATATCTACGGGAAAAAGAAAACAATAAAAATGATTTTTTTTCAAATAATAAATATAATATAATAATTGTATTTTAATTAGTTGCCTATCTTACCTATCCACAACAACAATTGGTCCATTACGATAATCATTGCCCCGATCATGAACATCGACAATGAAATCATAAATGCTGCTGGGATTCGACATTTCCGGCCAGCTGGGGCAGTGTAACATCTTCACACTTAGTTCATAGTCATCCTGTATTGATTGTATAACAAAATCACGACTAACATAATCGGATTTGTTTGTTTTACTCAAAAACTTGACACGATAATAATCACTTTCGATGGGCGATGTGTCATCTGGCCAAAATTGGGCAAAGTTCTATAAGAAACAAAAATTCGGTTCGGTAAACATAAATATATAACATAAAATTACTAATGACTTACAATTTCATCCAACGACGAGAGTAAAACAATTGTCTGGGCATTGTGATCCCACACCATTTGCCAAAAATCTTTGACCGTATGCGCCATGGGATGTTGAGTGACAATAAAGTCACGCAGTCTTCTGAACCCATGCAGCCATGAGGCATTTATATAATCACTGCCCTCCTCACCCGGCTTGGGTGTCAGATGTACCCTACTGCCCTCGATGGGGAATATAGCACCACGATTCTTTATCGAATTAACTTGTTTCATTGCCGATGCAATGTGTACATCTTTGGTCTGGAATTGGATAATGTTGCGATACTGTTGCTCCAAATATGGTGTACAATTCTTAAGTTCCTCGATTTGTTGGGCCGTCAGATTTGTTTCGCCCGATGCAATGGCCTCAACCAAGGCGTCGTGTATAAAAATATATTGTTCCTCGGTTTGTACCAGGAAATTTCTCTGTATACGAATGTGACGCAGGAAACCGAAGCTATTGACCACACCTTTGTGTGCGATTTGTTTAAGCATGGCATCGAGTACAATATATGTACCGGTACGACCCACACCAGCACTACAGTGAACAACAATGGGACCAGCATCGGGTGGATTTGCGGCAGATGATTTCTTGACGAAATTCAAAACTGGCAAGGGATGATCGGGTGTCCCGTGATCGGGCCAATTGGTATAGTGGTATTGATAGACAATTTTTTCGGTATTGCACTGTTTCTTTTTCTTGAGCTGCAAAGGGAAAACAAAAGAAAATTATTATGTGCAACAATGAGAGAAAATTATGTTCCCCTTACCTTTAAATGTTTAATTTGGAAAGTTCTTACGGTATACATGGCCATTACTTCCTCATCGACTAGCTTCACTTGTATGACACCATAGGTTTCCACACCCTCCTTGGGCCAATACATATCACATTTACGCCGGCCACGTTCCACTAAATTCGTAATCATTACAATAATGGCAACACGCTGTTCCCAAATCATGCGCCAAAAGCAATCAAAGGTATCGGGCAATGGACCTTGCGTACCAATAAAGGCCCTAGCCTTTTGATAGCCATCAATGTAGTTGGCATTTATGTAGTCTAAATTCTTTTTCTGACCAGGAATGGGATGTAAATGAACTCGACTGTGATCATCTGAAAACGGAAAAATTGTGAAAATTAGCCTTTTTGGGGTTTTAACGATTTTCATTGCATACTTACAGGCTGTAATATTTAAATAACGGTTTTTCTTCTTATTCTCGGGATGTTGCGAATGTTCACAGGGTAAATCATCGGAAATGCATTCGTTTTGTATGGCTTCATATTCACGACTGAAACCGATATCACCATCGGCATGCAGCGAGGCCACATGTTTGGCAAACTCATTGACGGGTACGGCAGCCCGGATTTCTCCACCAATCTCAACTGGTACTTCCCAGTCGACTTGTGGTACATTTGGATGATGTGGTGGATCATCCAAATAATAATAGGCAGCATGAAAGCACTTCCTGCTGAAAGGCAACAAAAACAAATAGTTATGATGATGATTAATATGGGTGTTTATAAGAAGTTACAAGGGCTTAATATATTTACACAAACAGCATAAGGGCTTAATATATTTAAACAAACATAAAGCCTACTTTTGTAATTTCATTGAGGAATGATTGTATTTTGTTTACTACTTTCATAAATACTTTAGTTCAGCCCAGTTTAAAGCCCTTAGAGTGATCTTGGAAGCATACTTTTGAGGGCATGTATTCTATATATGATTTTTGTTTAATATATATTTCTTTAAATATCCAAAAAAAAAAAAAATTGTATTAGAAGTTTGTCACGACATGATTAATTGGAGCATATTAAAATTCTAGGCCACCATCAGTCATTTCAAAAATGCGTATAATTTAATTACCATTGGCATCGTTGTAGAAAATTTCGACAACTGTTAACTACCTATAAATTTACACCTTTCGATGTGAATACAATACCATTAGTGCATCTTGTTTTCATTAGCGTGTCATGGTGAAAAAAATACCAACTTAAGTGCTACTCTTTCTCTAACCTCATCTTCCTCTTCTATTTTCACGCTGTTCTGATAGCGTTAATAACTAATTTATTAGCGTAGATTACGTACGTGATGTAAACTATACTTCTTTCTCATGGAATATGAAATTAAGTAACAACACTTGGTAACACACCTCTACAGCAAAAGCAAGCAAGCCAAGACCGATGAGAGAGCTGCTTTTGTATTTTCAACTAAAGGGAAACTCTTTAGGAAAATAGTCAAGTGGAGAAAAATGGGAAAAGAAAATATCTAGAGATGCGCAAAGCTGATGAAGGCGACCTGAGAATAAGTATTGAGGTTTTTCCATGCTTTTGTCAATTGAAGAAAGAAAATACGTAAAAATAAAATGCTTCGTTGCTTGCGGAATTTCTTAGAAAATCTGAAGGGTATTGCAAAATTTCAAAGAAGATTATATCTGTCTGTTTTGGCGTCAAGCAGACTAGCTATAGCTAGCTAGCGAATTGTTGCTATCATCAAAATGTGCACACCGTTTGATGAAGGCGATGACGAATACTACAGTACGTTTATGTGGTTTTGGTGCGGCGGAAGGTTTTTGTGGAATCCACAACTACACCTATGTAGACACCTTTCCTCGCGAACGCCTCCATGTCACAGCTTAGATATTGTATACAGATAATGTAGTGTGTACTTGTTGTTCAACCTTATGAATAGTTAACTATAAAAATTTAGCCAAGCATTAACAATTTCTTGTTCCTTGAAGATGAATAGAAAAATAAAATTAGGAAAATTTAACGACACTATGGTTTAGATTTGTGTAGTTGTTTATATTTATTCGTTGAACTAATTTTAGTTTTCTATGGGAAGTAAGAAAAAATAAACGAGGGAGGATTAAAGATATTTTGAGAGGCAGAGCTGGGATTTGAAAGTGTCTCATAAACTAGATAGGAGGATATTCTATAGAAAGATCTACATATCTACTACATAGTAGGAACCGAGCTAGAGTTCATCTATGAAACGAAGAACTAAAGAAGAAAAATACCACAATCTCGAGAGAAGAAAAAGTCCTCAAGTCATATAGCTCTTCTGTAAAAAATAATAATTCCGTCATTCTTATACAAGCTACTATAGGGGCAGTTTTAATGCCAAAATTGCATGAATTTGACTACTTCCGAACCTAATGAAATGACTCGTGGAAATGATTCTCCTAAACCTTTGCAAATATTGATTAAGCAGAATCTTATCTTTAGAAAGGGATGCAAAAATTGCAGTGACGGTAGAGTATGTCCTTATAAAATGCAAGGATTCGAAAAGTATAGGTATTATGTAATATACAGTCCTAATATTTAAATATTCTCGGACCAAATTGTACATCAATGTGATGAATAATTACAATAAGATGATAAATCAGAATTATAATCTTTAAGAATTATTCCCTTATATCAATTGTTGTCACCACTTTTGCGGACTTTAATATAACTTCGTTTGGATTTATATAGTTTTACTGTAGTTATAAAAAATATGTTCTACATATTGATTGCTATGACCAACCCCTCCTTTCATTTGTAGCTGAAAAAATTTGTTTTTTGTATTTTTTGTTAATGTTCATATCCATAAACAATAATAAAACGCACGTACTAGCATCACACCTGCATAAAAACGAGGTCCTAATTTTTATTGAAAACAATTTGTTTGTCGTCGTTGTTGTTGATAATTTGCCTATTCATAAAAATCATATCCATATTCAAAACGTTGAATAAATAATACAAAAAAATCTCATTTGCATTCAAGACAAACTGATATCACATTTATAGATGCGTAAATAATTGTAGAGAAGGGTGGGCAACGATAAGACATTCATACATCTTGAGAAAATTTTAGATGCATGCATTTAATGCATTACAAAGTAAATATTTATAGCATTAATGAGTTCTCTACTTTTTGAAATAAAATAGAAAGTTGTTTCTTAAGAAAAAACAAACTTCATCGTAGTTTTGTTTAGAATCTCTGATTTTCCTTTTAAATAAAGGTGTTAATTCTTTGATGTATTTATAAATATAATTAATATATTAACATAACAAGTACTTATTTACTTCATATTTTAATGTATACGTTAATTATATTTAAAAGGTCATTTAACAATCCTTTATATTTTTCAAGCTGATGTGCTTACGTCAGAAAGTAACATTGAACGAAATTAACCACTGAAATGTTTTATTGGTAAAAGTTATAAACATCTTGCAATGATTAAGTTGAAATAAATGTAGTATACATTTAGGAGCTCAAATCAAAGCACATGTTTCTATTGCCAATTTTGGGGAGTATTTTTATAATAGTATTCCTTTCCTTTGAAGTAGTGCGTTTGGCATTCCAAATTAAAGGCAGGTGACAAGATTATAGACAAAATTAAATGGCATTGTATTAAGCTATATTTTCTACAGATTTATGAAGCACTGTATCTTACGATTTTATTGTTTATACTATAGGGCATTGGAGAAATAGATGATGGAACAGGTGAATCACATTGCAATTGGAAAGAAATCATGTTTTTAAAATTTAGACCTCGGATATTACTTATTATTGTGAAATTAACTGGCTGTAATTTGAGTTTTAATGGGTTTGCATTTAATAAATCCTTCTTCGGTGTTTAAAGGCTCAGCAGCCATATTTTAATACGAAGAATTCTTCGTACCAAAATATAATATGATGACGATTTAGTCATATCCGTCCTCTGAAATAACGAAAGAGATCGAATATTTAAAACATATGGTATTCAATTGCAACTACTACTAGGATGTAGGATATTAAAAATGGGAGATATCGGTCCACGTTTTCGATAACTTGTCCATGTTTTGACATGTCTTACAAAAGCAGATTAAACGTATCAACTGTAGATGGATTGTGAACATAAAAAAATATACATAAAAAATGAATTGAATCACAAAGGATCACGAAATCCAGGTCGATCGAAAATTACCTGACGACGAACAATATCTCAAGATAATACAAAATAATCCTACATCCTAATCCTAATCATATCTCGACTAGCTGATTCAATCTAGACATGCGACGAATATATCAAGATGATAAATGCTTCCACAAGGTCCTGAGCGTCCATATGAACTGAAGGTTGTAGTTTGAAGCTTTTCAATTCGCTTCGTGAAAGGAACTAGTCATTCATTTAGTTCCATATGTGATATTGGGTAATCTCATTCATGAAGTAGTTCGAAGGGTTTCAATTTGCTTCGTGAAAAGAACTAGTCATTCACTTAGTTCCATAGTTCCATTTATTCAATAATGCACTAGAAGATATATTAAATTCGAAAAGATCTATCTAGATTAGCAATTGCATCAAAAGGAACTAGAACGTCCGTCTGTCCGTTATAAATTGTAAACACGATATAGGCCACAGTTATGGACCAATCGTCATGAAATTTTGAATGTGTAGTGGGTTCTGGGCAAAGAAGGCCCCTTTTATTTTTGATATTTTGTCGGGTTTTTGTGATCGCTCTAGAGGTCGTTATTATATGCAGAACGTCACAGAAAGTTAGATTTTCATGGTAGTTCGGCCCGTCCGAATATACTGCTTCTCTCACTGTTTTTAAATTATATAACTGTAATTTGAGTAAAAAATGCAATAGCCTAATTTCTTAATATAAGTCAATGTTTCTACACAACCAATATATAAAGGTCCGAAAAATGAACAATATAGGTCAGTCCATGTTTTGAGATTATACCATTTTAAAACCGGTAGATTATGAATTTGCAAACTCGAAGATCATACATGGCGTACTGAACTTGATCTTGTTATGCTTTTAAATAAGTCCTTAGTTGTTTGAAGACGATTATAACTATACAGTCGACTCCGCTTTACTGAAACGGAAAAAATCTAAGCGGTGTTCGGCTAACTGAAAATAATTTCAGTTATCCGAACTTATCATAAAATTTTTCAGTTTTAGGAATTTTATAATGCTTATTTTCATCGAATTCGTAGGTTTCGATATTTCAGTTATCCGATATTTTCAGTTATGTGAAGTTTCACTTATACGGAGTAAATTGTGGGCGATTAACCTATCAAATCAATTTCAATTATCCGATATTTTTCAGTTAAGCGACTTACAGTGCATGTCCCCTGTTCAGCCATGAAATACTTTATTAAATTTTTATTACCACAAAAATTTTGTTATTTAACCTTTTGAAATGTTGGCTAATTGGGCACAACAATTGTATACGAATTATGTCTTTCAATTCGTACTTATTACCAGTTCTATTGGAATGACCTATTGCAAAGTCTCAAAAATTCCCTTACACATTCTGGGAGTAGAGCACTGAAGTATGTTAACCTATTGTGGATTTGAAAAGAATTATTATCTTTATTTCGACATGAATTTCTTATCACAATTCAAGCTAAGGCGCAAATGTCGAAAAAAAAGAATAAAAAAACCGGCACACTTTTTCCAACCAGCCAGCCTACCCTACCTAACGACCAAT